TACCCTAATATGGTGAAAACTGAGATTGTAGACAGTCTCTCACGCATAAAAACCATCAACCTCAAAAGCACCTCTTCCAGTCTTGCAGAGCAAGCAGTTCGATTTGAGCTGCAGCCTGCATTCTTGGTGACATCACAGGCAGGAAACAGGAAGCAAACAAAGGTTTCCTCACCTCCTGTGTCTGACCGCCGATGACACAGCTCCTATTAAAACAGACCAACAAACGCGGCTCAGGTAGGCTTGTCCTTGACCTCTCTCTTTACCCACAAAAACCTCCTCCTCCTGCTGGTCATCCTGCACATGCTCTGTAGACCCAACTCAAGATACCTGGACTCATTTTCTTTACACATTAACCAACACACACGACTTTAGGCCTTTCTGGTTGTTGATAAAGCAGCTCCAGATCAGTCGTGTGCAATCTGTGTAACAATCAGGCCCTCAATCCACAAACTGACACATCAGCACTAACTTGTCTCAAGGCTACATTATTGAGGCTTCATCCTGTGAGACAAGATTGAATCACTTTTTTTGTCTGCGTGCTGCCCACAGTGCCATTTCACACAGTAGATCATGTCAACTCAACTTGAACTTCAAACTTTCCAGAGTGGCACATCGTTAAAAAAAGCAGCCATACCAATGACACACTCCTCTAGCTTCCTTCACACCCTCAAGAAGTCATCTCAGTGTTTTTTCCATTCACTCACCTGTTTGCTGCCTCTTCTGCGTTTTACAGAAGACCAGGTAAACAATAAAACCCGCTGTATCCCCAGTGAGTGCGTGCTACCTCTTTCTCTAAGCGCTCATTCATCTACTTAGCTCTCGCTGTTTCCTTATCCCTTTCTTTCTCTTTTCACCCTTCTCTAGGGCAGGTCTTAGCAGGCTACCTCATTCCTCAGCAATCTTGCACGGGACAAGTGTATTCTTGCCCCGACAGGATAAAATTAGACCCAGTCCGGCCTTAATGTGCATTTTCAAAGACAGCACGCGTGTGTGTGTGTGTTGGACTGAATGTAGGGCGCTGGCTGGCCAGGCTGAGACAAGTTGTCTCTCAGTAGGAATTTCATAGCTGCAGGGCTGCAGCAGGGGCTGGGCGTGTTCTCCTGTTCATCGCACACACATGCATATACAGAAGCCAGGCCTCATCCCTCACACACATTCCCTGCCCTAAAACACACACACGCTCCTCCTGCCAACAGAAGCTCCATTGTGTGCATCTTTATGTAGCTCCGAGGTAAGCTGAGTGCACCAGCAGAACTTTGAAAGGAGAGCAGGCAGGTGCACATATCAGCTCTGCAGGCTGCAGGCTTGTGCACTGCTGGCGTGATTAATGGCTTAGTTAGCTCGACAGAAATTCGCGATCATTTATCGAGCATCTAAAAGAAAAGTTCCGCATTTTGAGAAATTAACTTTCTTGTGTCTTTGCTGATTTCTCAATGCCTGCCTCATACATACACATTTATTCAGTAAATGTGCAGGTACAGCAAGCGGCTAATTAGCTTAGCATAAGCTGAGAAAAACCTCGCAAAAACCAAGCTTGAAAAATGATAATTCAGTGTTTTACAGAAGGCTCTGCGTTGGACTCTTTCTTGGCAGGACGACGGATCCGAGGATGTTTCCTGCCAACACATAATCCAGCATATAACCTGCCGTAACATTGTACAGACACAAGCTTGCAGTTCCCACGCAAAACTCTAGAAATGTGAATGGCTGCATGCTTTCTTTCTCTTTCATACCATTATAATATGATGGCATGAAATAGAAACAAGCTTAATCTGGGTGTTGTGAACCCCAAAGAGGCTGCACTCGATTCATTGATTAATTGGTAGCTCTTTTGATAAATGATTATTCAGCTTGAATCAATTTTACAAGGCAAAAAACGTTAAATCCTCTCTTTAAAGCTTCTTGAATTTGAATATTTTCTGGTTTGTTTACTTCTTTATGACAGTAGACTGAATACCTTTGGTTTGTGGACAAAACATTTGTCATCTTGGCACTTGGGAAACACTGATTCTCCTTTTCTGATGTCTTAACCAAATAACTAAACAATTAATGTAGGAAAAGAACTGACAGACTAATTTTTTCATTTGTTTCAGCCCTAATAAATATAGATAGATAAATCTGAGGGGTCACGTGATAATCTAAAGGATAGAAGCAAATCCAAAAACTTATTTTATGTGTTTATTCTTCTGAAAAACAAAACTTTTTTGGCTGGTCTCTCCGTAGCAAACCTCAATACTTTGCTCAGAAGTCACTGGATGCCAAAACAGAGCAAACTGGAGAGTAAACCAGACTGATATTACAAACTAATGCTCATGTTGCTGTGTGTCTGCTCAGTGTTCCCAAAGTCTGGACGTCGCAAAGTCAACCTGAGCCCAGACTTTGACTCTTATGAACACCATGCATTGTTAGTAATGCTGAACATACATTGTAGCTTGCAGACTATTCACAGTTATCTTGTCCCCAGATGAATGTGGTTTTAACGTGACATTGAGTTTCTTTGCAGCTGAGTTCACACATACAACAACAGACCTGAGAACTTGCTGTGACCTCCTCAACTGCAGATACAGAACGCATCTGTTTCCTCCAGTGCACGACTTCTAAATAACTGTCTGAGCCGTGTCTGCCTCGGTTTCGTGCTGGTCCAATCACAAGAGTGGTGTGATCACATATCAGTGTTTAGTGGTCACACTGATGCAACTGACTGCATGCAGACAGTCCTGTTTCTCCCACAAGCCTTGAACTTACAGTGACTGCTCTGACTGTCTTTAGCTTTAATGCGTGTTTCTTAAAACTTAGAAGTGAGATGATTAAATGCATCGTCACTGCCAATGGTTTTGAACCAAATAAAACCAGATGATGACAGCAGCTATGCCTTAACCAGTTCCAGTGAGGCCAAAACGGCCCAGTGAAGGCAAGTCTAAGTGGAAATGTTTTGAATGCTTGAGGACTTTATTTGGATCGATTTCCTGTACTAGTTTTTCTATTAAAAAATGTGCTGGCTTTTCATACATGTTGGTTTTTCAGTGCCCAAACTCAGGGACAGTTATGGCACCAGTGTGGGGAATTTTTCAAACAAGATGCAGCTCTATTCAAGATAATACAAAAATACCCAAATGAAAGAACTTGATAAGGACAAACTGAGTTGAATAGAACAACCTTAAACCGGAGACGAGGGTCAAACACAGACATTAGTCTGTTTTAAGGAGACGTGACCCCAACAGGTTAGGAATGTTTTGAGTTTTGACAAAATAAGCAAGAATTTATCAGTCATTGCTTCCGTGAAGTGGAATCTGACTGTTATTGTCATTTAGTCTTATAGGCCCGGTTTCGCATTCGGGGTTTAAACAAAACCAGGACTAGATTAATCTGGTTTAAATTAAT